GGGTTTGGGATCGGTTGAGGTGCCGTAAATTTACCTTGGCATACAGAGAACAATGCTTGAGGCAAAACATTCCATAACATCCCAAGAGGGTGTACCTACATGAAGTTGTCGCCTGAGAAAAACATTCCGTGCGCTAGGGTTTAGGGTGCCGAAAACATCTCCTATGTTGTGGGATGACTCCTGGAGCCACATAGCATAGAATCGGAATGCATTCTAGCACGACAGGGCATGGGCCCTGCACTGGACTAATCCCTCTGTCTCATATCACACCCACAAATGGTAGTTGTTCAAAATACCAAAATACCTGTCCCCAAAATGGCCGTTATGTAGGTTCCCTGTTTGGTTAGGGTCCCCTCTTAAGGAAGTGCACTCCCAATGGTCCCTTCCTTACAAGGACCTTTAGAACAACCTCCAAATATCTATGATATGGTATACCAAAGCGGGAACATGTAGTACTAGGGGGTGGTGAGTTTTACTATTCAGGGGAGGAGATTAATGGGGGTGTGCTGGCCCCTGATGTAATCAAAGCGTAAGGCCAGGTGCCCAACAAGCTAGAATGGAAAAGGGGTCCATGCTTGGCACAAAGAGATTGTCCATCAGGAATCTGTAGAACTGTCTGAAACCCTAAACCCTATAAACCCTAAATCCTGCTAGGACCTATCGGGCGGACCCTGCGGGCTATGCGGTCCAAGCATCACCGATAGAGTTTTGTGCAAACGCTTCAGCAATCTCTCTGACATGCCTTGCGTTGGTCTTGGATGAAAGGTTCAGTGTTTGCTGATCTGAAAACTTTGGATCTACCTGAACCTGAGAAGTATGTAAAAAAGTAGCCTTCTTGGCCTTTGCTTTTACAGGTCTTGCGCCACTACTTTACCTAGTCTTGAGGTTCAGGTAGCGAAGTATCTGAAATGTACGTTGCCGTTGTTCGACATGGACAGCCAGAGACTGTCATTTACCCTAAGTTCAAAGGACCCAAATAGTTGGGCTTTAGGGCTCAAATACTTTAACAAAAAATGTCTTTGGGCCCTGAAACCCTATTATTATTATTATTTTCTTTTCCATTATCCCTATATACCCCCTATTATTAGGGTCCTTGGACCCTTAGGCTTTAGCTGTTCTTGAAGCTTCTACGGTACTTGGACCGCAATAGTATGTAAAGTATATAATAGCCCTAAATCCTTCAAGTAATTGGGCAAAAAGGCTGTTATCCGAACTATGCTAGCTTTGAGCTAAAGCCCTAAGCCCTAAACCCCTAAGCCCTAACCCTGGTCTGCTGCAATTGGTGTCCCGAAGCTTGAGAGTATTGAGTGTGGCTTGGGGACAGGTTTGCAGGCTTAACTCTTAACCTAGAGCCGAAAACCCTACGCTCTAAAACTTAATCCTCACCCCTGAAACTCGGAACCCTGAGAAAAATGTCTCCAAACGTTTATATCCGAAACCGCAATCTTCTCATTGTCCCAGGCAATCATTCCCAGGGCCCTTTCAGAACTTGCTATCGAAACCCTGGGGCGAAATAAAGTTGTAGGGTTTGGGGTATAAAGTTATACGATCCATGGTGTTCATTTTGGTCTCGCCAAGTGGGCACTCAATATATATATATATATACATACATACATACATACAGACGTTGACAAATATTGCTAAGAAACTCTGCATAAACACTCACAAAGTACTCATATATACTTAGACCCTACTTCATATGGGGACCCCAAAATCCCCAACCATAAGCCTATCATTTTGGAAAAGCTGGGTTAAGTGGACCCCCGACGGACCCTAACATGGTCATCATTATCCCTAAACGCCACTACTACTTAGTCGGAGGTCCACCTAAGAAACGGGTCACATCCGAAGGCCTCTTCGACCCGAGTTCGTGAGCACCAGAACCTGCGAGATCGCGCCAGGCCTTGCAGAAAGGTTGGGGTTTCGGGTCTAGGGTGTAGGGCCACGGTTTAGGGTCAAGCCCTCAGCGTTTCAGGTTGAGGGCTTGGGGCTTGGTTTAGGGCTTAGGGTTGAGGCTGGTTAGAGGCTCTGGGTTTACAGCATCAGTTACGGAGTTTCGAGTCAAGAGGATTGTATGGAAGCATTGAGGGGCAGCAATTCCTTCCGAGGACAGTTTGTGTGTAACAGCGATTTTCCAGCTTACATCTAGACGGAAATGAACCTTAAAGCCCTGAAGCTTGCAAGGCGCGCGCGCGCACACACAAACTAACCTGCTTCCAAAGCTTTTACCATAACCCTGGGGCTGTAAGCCCAGAAAGACTACCTCGTTTGGGCCCTAACGTCTGGAACTACTGCAGTGCTTCAAAATTTCGACCCACTCCAGCAACAGAAGCACAGCTGCATACCCATTTCAGTTACCGTCAATATCCTACACAACTTCATGGGCATAGGTTCCTTGTTGGCAGTAGCTCATTTAGGGTCTATGGGCCATCCCTCTTCCCAGTGGCGTCCTGGCGCAGAAGGTCTCGCCGCAATGAAAATGCAGTACAAGACCCTCCTAATACTAATTAAGACCAAATTCCTGAACCCTAAAAATCCTAAACTCTAAGCCACCTCACCCTAAACCCTGAAATCTAAGCCCGAAACAAGGAACCCCTATAGTCGTTTCCATTCTCTTTCCCATTCTCCTTATAGAGCCCCAATGTTAGAACCCCAATATATAGCCTAAACCTTGAGCACGAAACCCTAGAAGCCCAGTTACCTATATATTGGGTTCCTGCCCTTGGGTCCCTATATAAACTTATACAACCTATAACCCAAGAACCTACTATAAACCCTAAACCCTAAACCGGTACCTGGGCTTCTAGGGAAAACCTAACCCAATCGAGCCTGGACCGTCCTTGGGTTCGCAGCAAGGACACACATAATGTAGAAGCTTGATTCGAGTAGGGCTTTTGGAGTTTTTTTTTGGGGCTTAAGGTTTAGGACTTGGGGTTTGTGGTTTTAGGGTTTAAGGTTTAGGGTGTGGGTTTTGTAGTTTTAGAGTTTAAGGCTTAGGGTTTGGGGCTTTTAGTTTAGGTTCAAGGTTTAGGGTTCGTGGTTTTTGGTTCAAGGTTTAAGGTTTAGGTTGGAGGTTGCGGGTTAGGGCCCCAAAAACGAATCAAATTCTGGAATATCAATCGGAAAGGAAATGGCATCTGGGCTGACTCTGCTGTTCAGAAGGATTGCACAAGGAGGGCCAATTTACTTTTAATAGGTTCCCTTGTGCGGGGGGACATCATATTGTAGCTATACTTGGCAAGATAACGGGTGGCTGTTGAAGCTTCCTCAAGAGCCCTGGCTTAGCACTTCGGGCACAAGGTTCCTAACATCCACTTTCTGAGCGCCTAAGCGCCCAATCGTGGGATGCCGAAGGTCATGCTCTTCTCATGCATCTATGCGGTTTATGGTTTCGGGGTGCGCTGAATGACTTCTGTTCGAAGTACCCTATACTATACCATACAAGACATACGGGACCAGGATAACCCCTACATAGGGGTCACTGCGTATGAGCAACAACCCCAGATGAACAAATACTTTTCTGATCTACAAACCCTAAACCCTTGGTACTGCAACCGGCTTTGACCCAAACCCTGAACCCAAAACTGTGAAGCCTAAGCCCTGACCCAGACCTCTGATTGTTTAAACGTCCTCCCTTTAATAGGGATTATAATAGGGATCGTAATATTAAGACCCTTAAATGGAGGGGGGGTTCTTAATCATGAGTCTACATAAAAATAAGTAACCCTAAGCTCTAAATCCTCAGCCCGCGGTCCCCAAACACATTTAACCCAAACCCCAAACCCTGAAGACTGAACAACCTGACCCTGAACTAGGGTTTAGGGTTTAGGGTTTGGCCCTGAACCCTACCTAGAGTTTAAGGGTTCCAGGCTTATGGGTACATTAGTTACCTCGGGTAAACCCCAACCGAGCATCTCAGATCTGTTCCGCGCGGTTGCCCCACCTGGGTTGTTGCTCAGGAACTTAGATGGTGTAAGGTTTAAGGGTAGGGTTTAGGCTTAAGATTTTAGGGAAACAATGTAAGCAACAAGACTAAGGAAGCCATATCCTTCACGATGCATCCACAATAGAGCATCTAGTGTAAATCCCCTCGCAGCAGCCAAGCCACTTCACCGCGTGGGTCTTTCCTCACGGGATTTCGTGTCTGCCAAATCCATAGGCTGAACTTACTGCTTCCTAGTAGGGAATTAGAGGGTACAATCCCTATATCCCCTGTATAAGCTCTACATAATATATATTCTTATTCTCTGCTATGCACCAATAAGTAAAGGCACATAGAAGTCGGCCCTAAAAGGTTGCCGCGTCGATACTGCTACAACAATTATATCCCATACAGGTCATAGGAGCCGTTGATAAGAGGAGGCAGATACCGAGTATAAGAACCCACTGCACATCAGTGTGATGTGTTTGATGGAATTTGCAACCATGATGGTTTCAGAAGGCGGGCGTTTCAACTGTTCAAGTTGCAATGAATCTAAGTGCTGGTTTCCAGCCAAAGGACTGATCCACAGTTGTAGTGTCCATGTTCTTTTCAAATTCCATTCCCCTCTATTCTCATATCCCACATTAAGTCTTCTCTCTATTAATATATTTGAGCATGAAGAAATAGTCTCAGCCGTATCATGGGCACTTGGTAGATGGGAGCATGCTGCAAAGAGACCTCCCTTGAATGTGTCGACACAGAATCTCGCAGTTGGTGACTTCAGTCATTGCCAACATGCGCCTTTTACAAGGATTGCTGAAAGCGGCGCATGGCTTGGCCATGCCCGGACATCTCATTACCAGGACCCTCCTTGTACCCTTAATTGGGGATATAGGGTCCCTAATAGTAGGTACTTAGGCCCTAATAGAGGGTAGGAGGCGGGTCTAGATACTTTTAGGGCCTACGGCGATGGTACTGGCATGTCCTGATCTCCGACTGCATCATGCGCCTTTGGCGATTCGCAGTCGGATTCTTCAGCCATGTCACAATCTTCGACTGCATCCTGCGCCTGAGCGGCCTGTGGGGATTCGACGTCATCTCTCACGTCTTCTTTCTCCAAATACTCTGTGACGATTTTAGTCATGACGCCAACTAGCTGTTTTCGCAGCTTGTCGGTGACTGCCTTGTTGACTCGATCAAAACCAACACCACCTGAGCTTTGGCGGAAGTCTTTTCCAGAAGCCCAAGCACGATTTTGTGATCAACCTAAAGCCCGAAAACCTAAACCCCGAGAGCAAAGCTTGCCTCAGATGATGTCCTTGACCCTAACCCCCTAAAGCCTAACCTCCAAACCCCTGAACCCTAAACCCCTAACCCCCTAGACCCCTAACCCTACCTCGGATGATCTCCTTGATGGTCTCTGTATCCTGCGGCTTGCTGGCTTTCGCTGATTCGGCGTTGATCTGCTGGAAAGCTTCCTTGAGCATCTTCAAGGAGGATCCTTAGTCGTTGAAAGACTTCGCCAAGGCAAAACAGCGTCTTTTGTGGATCGTATAGAAGAAGATACCATCCTCAAGGTCCAGCTGTAAAATAATCACATTCGTATACTTATCCCGAAGCTGCGCGTCGATTTGATGGCTAATGGCAATATGCCAGATACGCAGTTTTAGGTACTAGGATGTCCAACAAAGTTGAAACCTTTTCAACTTCATTGACTATACATCATTAACAAATCCCGTTCCTGGACCTGCTAACTAATTAGTACAAGAATGATCCGACAGCCCTAAAGAAGCCATTGTATGTTCTTTTTGGGGGGTTCAGACCCTAAACACAAAACCATAGACCTTGAACACTGAACCTTGGGGGTCCAGGTTTCCATTGGCTTCAAACCATTGGTTTAAGGAGTGGTCCGCAGAGCTAGGCAACACCACATCCGGCTCAATCTCCTGCCGTTCTCGTTTATGGTTCATATGGGCTTTGGGATTGAGGCTTTAAGGCTTTGGTAGCGGTTCATGGTCAAAAGGAGGCAGGAGGGGTATCCGCCGACCTTTGGGCGTGCTGGATGGTCAGAAGAAATGGAAAACCCTTGAAAACTTGTTTGTCTCAAATGCGGTGGAGGGGATACGGGGGAATAATAAAGGGGGGCACTCCGCCACTGTTTCCCAAGGGGGCACTGACAAGCCGTGAGGCAAAATGTTAACGTCATGAAACTCCTGAACAATACCGTGCCGCCGATGTCGCACATCCCAACAGGTGTCGACGTACTCAGTCTTTGCGCCGTACTCTCTGCTTCCTCATTTTTTGAAAATCCGCCGCCGCGTAAAAAAACATCCCAAACCTCCCGTCGCTGCCAGCATCGACTTCTGTGAAGACATACCTCCGCCTTCCTTCATCAAAATTACGAAACGTCTGGCGCACACTTACACACAGCAGACGGCCAGGCGTCCAGGGGTCTGCAGAACCCCATCCCTGGCGTGAATTCCTGCTGCTTGTGACGGTTGGTCCTGTGCCCAACCCGTAACATTGCAACCAGTTTTTGAAGCATACTACGACATCTCCAATTCAGCCACAGTGCCGCTACTGCAATATAGGTTGCCTGTCGAGAAATGGGTTTTGTGGATTCAAAAAGGTACGACATTTCCTGACGTGTGTATGGGGCTTCCCTCTCGCTACGGAAGGCGGGGGGGGAATGTTTTCGGCAAGCATCATCATCAGCAATTGGGGGGACTCAGGTTTTTTTGGCACCTCAACATACCTAGTTATGTTTTTCGACGGGTGCTGGAGCCTCAAGAGGGACATTGGCGGGCCTCACCATGCTCATGATGCTGGCTTTGTGGGAGCTGCTGGAGCCCAAACATACGTATCAAACTGCTGCAATACGCTCAAAATATGTGCTTTCTAAAATATAACTGCAACTCTAGGGCTCTAAAAGTTCAAAATACATGCAGGAATCTAACAAATCAGCTCTTGGTGGCACCTGCGATGCGTGCGTCCATTACCCAGGCCACCCGTGTCAACTGCACGGTTTGCATGATGTGTGTGTGTGTGTGCCTCTTGCACATATTTTCAGCATTTTGGAAGCCCCTACGCTACCACTGTACGCCACACTCACCTACTGGATGTCCAAATGGTACTTTGAATTGCAAAAAAAGGGGGAATAGTGTAAACTTCCGCAAAAGCGATCGTCAAAGCACGCTGGATGGCTATTCTTTGGTTTATGGGCCTTCGGCGCCGGGTCCCAATTCAACACAACTGGGGCTCTATCTTGGAAGAAAAGACCATGCAAACCCAGCTTGGAGAGGAACTTGTCTGGTTGCCTCGAGGCGGTTATAGGATTCCAAATTGTATAGGGGTTATATAGGGATAATGGAAAAGAAAATGGAGTCCACTATAGTATAAAAGGGTGTATATGGCGGTTGTTCAAAATACTTGTCCCCAAAATGGCCATAATGTAGGTTCCCTGTTTGGTTAGGATCCCCTTTCAAGGAAGTGTATTCCCAATGGTCCCTTCTTTACAAGGACCTTTAGAACAACCCCCACATATTTACAGACTTTGGGGCTCAATGTACCCTGAACCCTAAACTCTAGGTTTTAGTTGTATACTTGGGTCGGTATATAAAGATTGGCAGCAAACATCGGTGCCGGGATTTGCGGCGGCTCAGAGGACGCAGGTAAGGCACGGCCAGGCCAACCAATGCCACAAATCCCCCCGTTTATGGAAACATAGAATCACTATGACTATCAGTATAATTGTTACTATTATTGTTACTGTTAGTACTATTATTACTACCATAATTAAAATTATTACTACCCTAAATTCAATGAGCCCGACACTGTGATACTGCGGGGGTACACATTGGCTACAAAACTCTCATAAGCCAAAAATGAGCTTCAAGGGCCATCTAGACCTTCGTAATCAACCCGTTAAAGTCCCATGGACGTCCTGCTCAATTGAGACGAAGGTTTCATAGATGCACCAAATGCGTCTGACATATTCCGGTTTAACGTAGTCATCCATGATGATGATCATCTTGCCGATGCGGGAAAGATTGGACTCGAAGGCATCTTGTAGCTCTTTCGTACTGGTCTTGTTGCCTCCACACGCTTTAGAAGGCAAACCTTGCACTAAGTTTACTTACATGTGTCTTGTAAGGAGCAAAAGGAATACAATCCTTATATCACTCCTATGTAATATATTTCTCTATTCCCTATTAACCAGAGTAAGTCGATTGAGCCCAGCTCAAAAGAAAACATTTCCCAAAGAAAGGGCTCAAATCCAAAGTCCAACCCAAAGCCTTGGGTCCTGCCCCCGCTCATTAACAGTCTATAATAAAGGTCATATTAAGGGCCCGATAAAACATGTTACGATTATTATCCACCTGTTGATGAGTATGGGCAGTACGTAGCCAAAACCCTTGAAGGGGCCCCTTAACGCCTCAACCCTAAACTCTCAACCCTTAACCCTACACTCTAACACCTCAACCCTAAACCCTAAACCGTATAAACTGAGCTGCCAATACGATATTGGTTGTTGCAGAAGAAACACATCCAGACGTAGGTCTGCACCGGAGCCAAGGCCTTTCGCCGATCCTTTAGGGTTTAGGTTTCATAGAGTTTAGGCTTCGTAGGGTTTAGGGTTTAGCGTTTGTACACTGCGGAGGTT